AAAATTTATTCTAACAAACCCTGGATATAAGATAGATTTGTAAAATCTTAATAAACCACTCGTGAGTAAATTTGTATTGAATTACATAATCTGTTCAGTAAGTTGACAGGAAAACATTTTTAAAAACAGTTGTCTGAAACTTTATGCAAAAGTATAGGTACTTTGAGAAGTTCATATTACGTTTCAATATATACTTTACTATCATACAGTCTGAGTCCTTTACATCCAACAATACGGTAGCTAAGAGTATACTTATCGAGATGTAAACAGAGCTACTTAGAATCTCAGAAAAAATTAATAAAAACGATCAGAAATTCATAAAATATTTAGAGCTATGTATAGAGATAATGAATTGCAAGATTAGTTCTTTTCAAGTGGGTCAACCATTTTTGGAGGCCGTAAATACTGAAAGTATTGTGAAAGGCCAGGGAAACCACCGGACGTTTGTGGTCTTTCATAACTTCCAATCGCCAAATCATTGTTCGTATGATTACTAATGAGCTAACTTTGGGAAAAATTTATGTATGATATAGGGAGCAATATGTAAGCCTGATGATCATGTCTTGATTTCATAAGTTTAGGATAATGATTTACTTTTTAAATCAGTTTTGATCATGTTCACTTAATGCAAAACATTTTGTATATAAGTGGGTAATCTTATTATATTAAACGGCCCATGATTTCCCTGAAAAGTTATTCTGTCTTTTGATATCCGCTTATCGGGAATATTTTAAATCAGTAATCCAGATCTGTGAGAAGTCGCCACTCGGATGCATTAACTACAGCCATTTCAGCCGACCGTTCACAACAGACACAGTTCATAAAGTTATGTACACAATTTTGGTAATGCGTAAAATGGCAGGATAACTGAAAAATCTAACTTCTGGAGTCTTTTAGGGATACCTAGCAAAATAGAAACAGAGATAGGACGTGTTTCGCTCCAAATCAAGAGTTCTTTGAAGAGAATAGGGGTCGATACCCTAAATTACTGTAGTTTTAATTCATACAGAAAACCGTTTGTCGATTAATATAATTCATAAGAGAATACTTGGAGATTCTATTGAAAATCTAGAGCAGAATCTGATTGGAAGTCAAAATGTGAAAAGTTTTGTATCTTATTAACCACTGGAAGTGCAACACCTCTCATAGCTGACCGTCGTAAAACGAGTTTTAATCCATTTTCTGTTAGAATACATCTGAAGATTCCCGGTTAACTACTGATTTTGTAGCTAGTAGTGTAATGATAAAGAGGTGAGTTTGAAAACAGTGCAGTTCATATTCTATTTCTGCAACATTACATTATAAGATTCAGATAATTTCTATATAAATATATTGCTAACCATTTCTTAAGTATTTAATTGAATGTAACAGTTATGAATAGTGAAATACCCATGACTGATTCAGAATCTCTGAAATACATCGATGTTTTAATTATCATACGCTTGGGTATTTCAGATTAATGATAGAGTTTCTCTACATAAAAATTAGCTAATAATAAAATTATTATTATTCAAAATATTGTGATTAGTATCAAATAGAACATCGTAGAATTATAGAAATTACCGCGAACCGACATCAAAATTTTACTGAAACACTTTATCTTCCTCCATTCACGTGCAGGTAATCCATTAATCGGATGATAGTAATTCTGATTTAGAGGATTAATAGTGGTTATACAGGCTCTGTTTGATGAAACCAACCCGTCGAATTTTCCAAATACTACCTAATTATTTATGTCCGCAGGTTACACTTTACATTTATTGAAATCCTTTTGGCTTTCTTAACATTACGTGTGTCCTAGACTCCATTTCTGGTCACCATCAGTCTCTACTTATAATTACTGGCTCCTGTTATTGCAGTTTTCAGTCGGAATTTTCCCTTGAGTTTCATACACTCGCATAGTTATTCCTTCGGGTATAGGCTAACACAAACTGTTCGCGTCATAAGGAAATATAACTCGATGAAAAAACATATGAAGTGTCGAAAATCTTAAGCGTCTTCGAAATGAACATTTTCATTCAACAAAGATCATTGTTCTGAAATATACTTAATAAGCACTGGGAACAAGGGATCATCTAACTTGTAATAAGATGTAAGTAATCAATATGCTTCTTAACAAGTCAGTACATGTGTTGACGGCTCAAATATCTAGTATACCAAAGAATAATTACTAATTTTCTGACTATCCAACAGTCCGCTTACTAGGAGTTTGTAAAGTTCTAAACTCATACTACATCTATATCGTTGGTTTCATTAATTTTTTTCTCTCAACTATTTTTAGTCAAAAATCACGTATGTCCTTTAAACATCGATTAACAGTAGCTTGAATACAAAGTGTTCATAATACTAGCTAATAATAGATAAGGTTTTTCTGAGAACAGATGATCAAATAAAATCCTTTCCATACTTTCTTCGTAGCTTAGACAAGGTCTGAATTCAATTTCTATTAAAAACATTTGACGCAATTCAGCATAAATGACGTGAACAAAATAAACAAGATACTAGTCGATAGACTAATGCTATGAGTGATGTGACTAAGTCTAGTACATATAAGTATACATATATATACTGCTTAAAAGTAGTATAAATGTTAAAGTAAAATTTCAAGGAGATATTTAATTTCCAAATAATACATTCTTTCTACTCTGCCTTGAACGTAAGTTCTTCTCTAACGATAACAGATACTTCAGCCAATTCGGTCAAAGGGGTACGGTGAGAAAGTGGCATTTAATGGCCAAACTAAAACTATTGGCGGAGCCCTTTACAGTGAACTTGGAATCATATCGAGTAGCTACCAACACAAATGCCCATCAGATAATATAGCCTCCTTCCAGCTACTCAATGAAGATAATGATTTTTCAGTCAACAAACCATATTTTATAAAACCCCATCGTCACTCTAAGGTTAGTAAGAAGTCCTTATCGGAGTCTAAAAGGATAGAAAACTACCACTTAATTATATTACATGAATCAATTATTGATTTAAAACCCTGAAACGACTCGAATTAATTAGTTCTTAGCGAAGCGTGTTTGTAACTAATCCACAGATATTAATATAGTGACTTCAAAATAAAATTGTCATATTATTGATTACGCTTAACTAATTGATTTTCCATATTTCATTGATAGCACTATTGAATAAAATGTAAAGTAATCAAGTAGATCATTCTGTGAACATGAATGCTCTTTTTATTCAATATGAAACATGAATCCAATCCATAAATTTCGCAACTTGACAATACAAGGGATAAATCCAATGACGCTCATATATAGCCGGACATTTTATGAAGTAATGGATAGTAATACGAAAACAAGAGTTATCGGGTGAATTGCAAGTCTAGAGCTCCTACCGAGTGTCTCCAACCACCAAAAGTTGCATTAGAGTGAATTCTGAACAAGTTGATTTCTTCAGATTAAAAATTGAACAGGACACTAGGGTATCCCAATAACTTTCTAATTTCTTATCCTATCATCAGAGAACAAACCTATTTGAAGGCTGTAACTCAAATCAGTTTTTTTCAAATTTATCTTATTTCTCGTATTAATGTAGCTTGGATTTAAAAACTGATTGGTTAAATTTGTTTAGTTTGGGAGGCTGATGAATTATAGAACTAGTTTGTTCAGTGCATTACAAAACTGATTTTTTTTAGTTCGGAGCTGTATTTACCTATTTATTGTCTTACACAATCAGCTTTGTGGATTATTTATTGTCAGCGTGGTACCTATCCATGCCATAAATTCACATATGAACGCTTGGACAAAACCCAACTAATTCTCTTTAGATATTTTAAATCCAAACAAACTCTTTTGTTTTGTTTACTTAATTAAAATTTATAAATTTTGAGTGGCATCACATAAAACGAAGGATTCTTCAATAGTTTACATGCTGTCATCTACTACTCGATAATACTTTGGGAAATTTTCTTAATGAAGAGATGATAACACTTACACACATTACGATGTAAAGCTTGTTAAGCGTGCTATTCTAATGAACGCTTATATTTTCTTCACAATATATATATGCAACAGGATGCAAACAAATGTAACACAAATATCAGATCCAATAAGAAACATTTGCTAAGTTCACAGGATTCAAGAGCACATCTCGATAGACAGCCTATTGATGAGCACTATCAGTCAGTCGTGAAATGGCAATTAAATAAATTAACTGTAGTCGAACTATGCATATTTTTATATGAATATTCAAAATGAAATTTTTGTATAGAAATAAAACTAGAACGATCGAAAAGAAACCAAAAAGCCATAGACAGCTGTTTTGAATATCTGATAGTGAGTACCTGCGAGACGTAGTCAAGTAACTTCAGATTTCATATAGAACACGATACCACTAGTCCAGAAAATTTAACTAATCTTCAAGAACCATCAAGCTTAACAAGCCTAGCACTGAAACTGATCAGTTAAGTACACAAATAACTAGCTACATTAAAAGAAACCTCATAATGATGAGTTAAGCTTGATCTATGCTTATCAACACATTACACATGCTCCATTAATATCGATTTTGTTACACACTTTAGAGACAGGTGCATGAACCAATGCGACAACGATAGTAACGTATTAAAAATGAATACTTAGACGAATCAACAATCTTTTCTCTAATCACATAGACTTTTTTTGTTACATCATAAATTCTTATTTAACTCTTATTTTTCTCTATTGATTACATCACTACGCCTTTTTTCGACTTCCTTCTAAAGCAAAGATTTTATTTTACCTAACTGAGTTTTACTCGTTCTATTTTCATTTATCATTAGCGTTTGCTCATGAATTAACCACTTATCTCTGGCTCTTTGGTCTTCTGTTGCTATCACTGTTGTAGAATATTCATCTATTTGCGAAATTTTTGTTTAGTCCGTTACATTAAAGGGAAATATGTGAACGGCAGACACGTTGTTAATGATTGATAACGGGGATGGAGACCAATATAAAGTTTCTCTCGACTGCTGGCTAATCTTAACTATTAGGGACAACAACAATTCGTTTTTCGATAAAAGGGCTGAATTTGACATAATTGAAACTGAGGTTATTATAAAAGTGAGACAAAAACTTGAACAAGATAAACTGGAAACATTAGCAGACAAAAAAGAACAATTAAAACACTATGGTCGAAATGTTGCAAATAAGATCGCAGTAGTATCCTTAGTAATCTTACAGGAGTGAAATCGTAAATCGTTTTGATAAAAGGAAAGAAACACATCATAAAATGAAATCGAATTAATGAATAGTATGTTGGCTAGATTACTCTAAAATAAAGCTACGCTACTGTAAAAAAGAAAAAGATATACAATCAAGTAACCGTATAATGAAAAAAAGTTGGAGAAAATTTAGTAGTGATAGAAAGGTGGGAAATGTAGTATTTGAACCTCTGGTACGCTGCACTGAAATGATGAGGTTATTTCGTTCTTGAAAATTCTAATCCTCATGAGACCGCATCAGTGACACCAAGTGGCCAATCGTATACATCAGGCATAACTGGTAAATAATTTGGATCATACATCTTTTGAGACAAATACAATTCAATATCCTTAGGTTGTGGTTCATAATGGCAAATACCTTTCGAGTAAGCATATTTTGCAACATGTACTGCTATAGCCAACGAAACATTGCGTATATCTCTTAACGGTGGGAATACACGACCAACATCCAGATCTTTTTCGTCGACTTGATCTGCTAAGCACTAAAATTTTTAGAAACGAAGAAATGAACAATAAAAAAGGCACGATCGAATTTCAAGCTATTTTTTTCATTATTTCACTAAGTTGATATATATTATTTTTGCCTTTAATCACGAAGTTCATCCAATTCATCGGTGTTCTTTCTACTGTTTCTTTTTTCACTAGGGACTATCTTCATTTTATGATTTGAATGTTCTTTGAGTACACAGATGTAAAAAACAGGATATTTTTCATAATGCCATTTACTTGAACATCATAAATGAGCTACTGAAGCTACTTGGAAAATGTGTGCAATACGACGAATCAAAAACATCTCTTCATTGTCAATTATGCGGAGCCAGGAATAAAAGATAGAGAAATAGATATAACATAACTCCCAAAAATACAGGAGAGTTATCAGTATAAAGGATGTGAAGATTGCTGAGTTTAAATTGAAATTATGAACCGATGAATGTTAAGCTACCACAGAGAACCTGGAAGCACTGGATGGCTGATTCTCCCCAGAATGGAACTCATCAACAGTGCGCATCCACGATCTCGCGCGCGGGACTCGAACCCAGGACTTGTGGTCTTGCACGCGTACGCCTAACCTCTAAACCACCGAGCTGGCATCCAACGGTGTTAATGTCTAACTTCAACTAGTCCACGATATTGCGCGACCGCCCTCCATTGTCTTCAGTGAGTAACTGCCTGACACCAGACACGTTTGAACTCCATTGATTATGGCTTCTCAATAGAACTCTAAGAATCAGTTCTCGGGGCTAAACACTAGAGAGCATGTGATAATTATTAGTATAGGGTTGTGGTGATTGTTGAGTTTTTATTGAGATCGTGAACCGACCAGTGTTAGACCATCGAGTTCTGTATGTAGGACCATAGAATTAGCGCTGCTGAGAACAAAACGGCCGTCCAGTGCTTCCAGGTGTTCACTGATAGTCTGACATTAAGTGGTTCATGATATCAATTAAAATACACGGAAAATGAAACATGCCAAAATAATAGCTACTTTCTCTAAGCAAAAGCTGACACCTATGAATACGAATTTGAATAGAAATGTAGAGATCTAAATTCACTTAGTATTGTTTACTTATTGGCATACGTTCATACTGTGAGTATTGCTTTGATACTGCCATAATTCACAAGCATTACAAGCAAAGATGGATTGAGGCTAGCAGTGGAACCCAGGATGCGCGTCTCGTCCTCTTTGGGACTCGTCAGCTGGATGTGCCTGCATTTCAAAGTTGATGTTCAACTCCGAGAGGCACATTAATTTGCTTAGAGAAATATCTAAACTAGATAGCTCTAACTTAGAATCCTGAAGGGAGACGGAAAAGAGGAAGAACACACTGTGTCGATAATTGAGAAAAGACAAGGATAGGATGAATGGCAACTGGAAAGGATTTCCAGGACAGGGTTGGATGGAGAATGCTGGTGGGCAACCTATGCTCCTACACGAAGGGTAACGGGCGTCAGTAAGTAGGTAAAAATGTGTGTGACGACATAGTTAGTCACATCCAAGGCTATTAGAACAAGTCAGTAAAACAAGATGCTTACTTCAGCAGCGATTACGAAAAGTTCTTGTAAAACTGGACGGATTTGACACAGTGTAATGGCCAGTCCCACACCGGGAAAAATGTAAGAATTATTACATTGACCGGGTTGGAAATGCACTTCTTTGCCAGAAACGTTAAGTAAAACATCATTGAAGGGTGAACCGCCAGCAAATACGCATCGACCCTTGAAAACCAAACAAATTCAAGTTAAATACACGTCACCCAGATACAGAAAATGTTTACGGTTAAAAAAATAAGTCGTTAACAATGAGATTGAAACTATCTGTTACAGGGATTTGTATATCTATTGCAAGGTGGGGATTCAGTGAGATTACACATCACTAATAAACAACATGAAAAATAAGAAAACTTGATTTTATAGCGATTATTCATAAATCCAGTTTACTTTGAGGTTAAACACATTGGCTCGACGACACAATTTCTTGAGGCATAAATATTAATAGTACTACTTCTGAGGAAAAGTTCCATCTCCACTTCATCACTCTTGGATTTATTAGAGTGGAATGGAATTTAGAGATGTTTTTATACATACTGAATAATGTTTGGATCAAACAATTGGTGATGAGTTAAAATCATGCTATAAAGTTGAAGAGCTTAAGTCAAAAAGCTACTAAGTTTATCTAAACTAATAGCAACAGTGAGAACATAAGCATCTAACTTCATAAATTTTTATTACGAATTAAATAAAGTGCTAAACAATCGATGAACTTCTGATAAAGTAATAATATGGGTGTATAGGTTATCTAACTATATGAAACGGATATAACTAACAATTTGATGTTAATAAACTACAAATGCCTATAAGTTACAGAAAACATCTTCAGTTAATTATCTTTCGAGTGGCAGTTAATCAACAAAAAACTCAGTAAGTTTAAACACTCGGCTTTCAGATGGTTGAAATAAGCATCACATACCAAAGTTTAGGTAATAAACACGAAAAAGAGACACTATCAAAATAAAGCACAGATGTACGTTGAACCATGTTGGTGCACTAGATCATCAGAATCAGATACTCACGCCCGTTACCCTTCGTGTAGGAGCATAGGTCGCCCACCAGCATTCTCAATCCAACCCTTTCCTGGAAATCCTTTCCAGTTGCCATTCATCTTATCCATGTCTGCTTCCGAGTCTCGGAACAGTGTGTTCTTTGACCTTCCACTTTCCCGTTTCCCTTCAGAATTCCAAGTTAGTGCTTGCTTCGTGATGCAGTTCGATGATTTTCTCAATGTGTTTCCTATTCACTTCCAGCGTCTTTTCATAATTTCCTCTTCCATTGGAAGCTGGTTTGTTGCCTCCCAAAGTAGGTTGTTGCTGATGAGATTCGGCCAACGAACATTGAGTATCTTGCGTAGAAAACTGTTTGTAAATACTTGTACATTTTCGATGATGTTGTGGTAGTTCTTCAAGTTTCAGATCTGTACAACAGAACTTTCTTGACGTTCGTATTAAAGATTCTGACTTTGATATTGGCTGACAGTTGTTTTGAGTTCCATATGTTCTTCAACTGTGGGAATGCTGCCCTTTACCAAACCATGCCGTTACGTCAACATCAGATCCTCCTTGTTCATCGATGATGCTGACCAGGTACGTGAAGGTTTCCACCTCTTCCAAAGTTTCTTCATCAAGTGTGATTGAGTTGGTATTCTGTGTGTTGTATTTGAGGATTTTTGTTCTTCCCTTGTGTATGTTGAGGCCTACTGGTGCAGAGGCTTCTGCTGCACCAGCTGTCTTGACCTGCATTTGTTCGTGTGTAAAGGGGAAGAAGAGCTAGGTCATCTGAGAAGTCCAGATCGTCTAGTTGCATCCAGTCTATCATTGGTTGGTGCACAATATTCAATGTGATTCCCTTAGATTCGGTTCCTAAGCTCTTCTAGTAGCCCTCAGGCTAAATTAATACAGCGACCTGAACACGAGAGAAAAGGCGCAAAATACAGAAGAAACTCTTTACTTCAAAGTTCCGTTTATGTACAGAAAATCTAGGGTTTTTATAGCATTTTAGATAGCCTTCGGTTTCCGGAAAATTCTGGAACGCTACTAAACACATGGTAACAGTATAGGTAGTTATCGGATCAGGAGCGCGACATGCGACCTTTCACTTTTTATGTGTTGCTGGCAAAACTTCTATTGATTGGATGAGATGTTTCTTAGTCTTTTCAGAGCCCTTTTTGGCTTTTTTTCGAGGAATTTTCCGGATCCCCCCAACAGTTATTTTCTACGTGATGGGGTTGCTGGCACCATGCTTAACCCTTCTCCTTTACCCGGGCTTGTGACCGGCACTAACCCTAGATCTACAGGCGGAGTTAAATAAAGTAGTAGCAATAATAAAAGGAAAGACCATACCCTGAGAGTGTAGTTTGAGAAGACAGAATGGAAAGGTATGTGTGGAAGAATACTAGAATTCGAGATCGAGAGGGAGAAAGAATTAACGCGTCTGAACTACTGTGAACGATTCTGAGCCATGTCTTGACAAAAGACAATTGTAAGATATAACAACAGTACCTTATTAGTCGAAAAGAAAGTGGTGTAACTAATTCTTAATTTTTGATAATGGAGCAAAACTGGATCAATAAGCCAAGAGAATTATTATTGGTGTAAACTTTCTATTTCCTTCGAACTTAAGGGACAGAGATTGAAAGGCGCAGTAAAACTTTTAGTAAACACTAAAGGCTTACAAATTTAATCACTAGCTCAGAATAATAACAATTCCTAGACTCCTATCACTTCTGTCAAATGTTATGTGATACTAGATACAAGAAAACGATGTTTTTTCACGTTTATGAAAATATAATACACACATTTGGGGTAGCAATCTTACCTCTGTAATTCTATATGCTCTTTCAGCGGTGCATTCAGATTTCGAAGTTGGATTGCTCAGTGAAAATATAATTGGCCGTTCAGAATTTTTAACCATTTGTTGAATGATAGCATCTGTAAAAATTCCACCTTGCCCGGATGCACCTGTTACATGGTACCCAGTAAATGAAAGTAATAAATAGTTTGTATAGCTTTAAATGAAAAAGTCCCGTTGTGAAAATCAATGACTATATTTCTTACATATGTGTATTTAAAAATCATACTAGAAAAACAGGCAGCCATGTAAATGATATCCACGCCGAGGTAGCGTGGAATGATATCCGAAAAGCTGTGAAGACAGCAGTGATATCTGCTAGTAAGGTAAACCATAAGGTGAGGAATAAATGCTGGATCTCAGCAGCGTCTACCGCATTGATAGATGCTCGAAAACTCATCCCATCTGGCTCCGAATATGACGAAGAGCGGAGTCAGCTTATGTGCAGGCTGACAAGAAGCCTACGCAATGATCGCGAACAGTGGTAGGTAGCGAAAGCAAGAGAGATGGAAAAGGCAGCGGCAATAGGTAATAGCAGACAATTGTTCAGACTCGTTAAGGAAACCGGAATTAGGAACCCGACCGTTAGCGAAACAATCTCAGAGAAAGATGGACATATTATTCATTCTCAATCCAGGAGATTGGATCGATGGGCAGAACACTTCAGGGATCAGTTCAACTGGCTTTCAGCCACACTTCGGTTTCCCACGATCTCTAGTCAACCTGAATGGCAAGTTAATGTAGGTCCTCCGTCCCTTTACGAAGTTGAAAAAGCCATAGGAAATCTGAAACGAGGGAGAGCAGCAGGCCCTGACAGGTTTACTCCTGAGATTTTTAAGGATGGTGGTCCAGTATTAGCAATGAGATTAACCGAGGTCTTAGGTAGGATTTGGGAAATGGACGTTATCCCATCTGACTGGTCTCAATCGCTGATTGTGCCAGTCTATAAGAAAGGACAAAAGTCCTCTTGTGACAATCACAGAGGAATCAGTTTGACTAATATAGTGTCTAAAATATTAGCCTCAATAATACTTCGACGCTTAATCAAAGCTCGTGAAGAGCAGATTAGAGAAAACCAGACTCGTTTTCGACCAGGACGTGGCTGTATAGATCAGATATTCACACTACGTCAGGTCCCAGAACATAGACACACGTTCAGACGTCCCACAATAGTAGTATTTCTCGACCTTAAGGTGGCATTCGACTCTGTCGATCGTAAGGTTCTATGGCAGTGTTTGTCACTGAAAGGAGTACCAAAGAAGTACATTAACCCTGTAAAGGCTCTCTACTCGAACACAACTGGTCGAGTGAGAGCTAATGGCGAACTGTCATCAGAATTGATTACCTCAAGTGGTGTTCGTTAGGGCTGTTTACTCTCTCCATTCTTGTTTAACTTTGTCGTTGATGTACTTTTAGAGATAACACTTTTCTCATCTACATTTACAGGAGTTGAACTTTTACCAGGAGGTTCACTTTTTGACTACCCGACCGTTGTTGCTACCTTGACTTGGTGGTCGGGCTTGCCTATCGTGATGACCCAACCGAGCTATACTGGCTGGAACAACCGTTCCTCAAGGTCCTACCATGTCAGACAGGTCGGTTGAAGAGCGGTAAGACTAAAAGCAACAAACCCAAGGTCCGAAGGCGAAGTCGTACTGCTGACTGTAGAGAGGTGTGACAGCAGTAAGGTGTTTCCTTCAGACAACCAGCATGACAGCGATGCTGCCTTCCCACAAGGAGGGGTGGGGTAAGAAAAGGTCGACCCTAAAAATGCACACCTCACCTTACCTCACGGATTTCCGTCTCCGGCGGTAAGGCCCTTTGAAGAACGGAGCTAACACGTCAAAAACCTCCCACGAAAAGGCCGAGCGCGACCGGCCTCAAGCAGTTGTCCCTTGGGCACTGCGGTCACGCTCTCAGGTCACTGACACCGCCTCTAATCCAATTTCCTTTTCAGGTACCTCCAGAAGAACCCTTCCACGGTGTGGGCAACCGGGAAGTGATAACCGCCCTCATACCTCTAACAGCACCCAAGACCACTGTATTCATAATCAACCTTCCTCTTCAATTCCTATTATTCCCCCTACATCGACTTTCAACTCTAAACTTCCTCTTTCGGCTTCCTCCTCAAGTGTCACCATAGCCAACGATTCTAGTGCTCAAAACTCTGTCCCAGGTCTACTGAAACCTCGCTCAAAACTACACATTGGAGCCTTCAACGTACGCACCCTATGTCAAATCGGTCAGCAGGCTTCCTTGGCTAAAACCCTAGAGTCTCTTTCCATTGATGTGTGCTGTCTCTCCGAAACACGCATACAGGATTCCAGTGTGGTCATTCACTTGACTTCACCTCGGCAAAACGGAGAGCCAACGAGATACACCCTCCGTATATCTGGTGACCCGATGGCCAGTTCTCGTGGACTGGCAGGTGTAGGCATAGCACTAAGCATGAGGGCGGAACAAGCACTGCTAGAGTGGATCCCCGTCAACAGTCGTCTATGTGCTGTTCGGTTAAACGGCTCCGTAAGAACACGGAAGGATAGGGACACACGTCGTCGCCTTTTTGTCGTTTCTGCCTACGCTCCCACTGACTGCAGCTCAGATGAAGTGAAAGATGAATTTTACAGAAAGCTTTCTGAACTTCTTCAGAAAGCTAAACGCTCAGACATAGTACTCATAGGGGGTGACTTTAATGCTCAGATAGGTAGCTTAAACCAAACAGAAAGGCATTTAGGTGGATATTTTAGCATTCCGGCACAGCGAACAGATAATGGTGACCGTCTGCTGCAACTGTGCTCAGATAATCGTTTATTTTTAGCAAACACAAATTTTAAGCATAAAAAGAGACATCGTCTAACATGGCGACCCCCTACACCAAACCAACGATGGACTCAAATAGACCATATTGCCATCAGTCATCGTTGGAGAGGGTCGGTAGAAGATTGTCGCTCATTCTGGAGTACCTGCTTGGACTCCGACCACGCCCTAATACGGGCACGCATCTGCTTGCGCCTCACTGGACGCAAAAAAGCCACAATAAAAAGACCCATTAGAACTGAGTTGAGTAACGAGAAAACCAAAAATAGGTTCCAAGAACAACTGAGTTCACAATTAGGTAGTTCTGAAGACGAGGCTGACCCAGATGTTGCTTGGAAAGACATACAAGCAGCTGTGGAAACAGCAGTGACATCTATTAGCGACGTAAACCACAGAGTTACAAAGAACCAGTGGATTTCTTCAAAGTCTATCACACTGATGAATTCTCGCAAACTCGTCCCATCAGGTTCCGAACATGATGAAGAGCGACAACAAATCATATCTAGGTTAAGAAAAAGTCTAAGAAACGACCGTGAGCAGTGGTGGGCATCGAAAGCAAAAGAGATGGAAAAGGCGGCGACTATAGGGAACACAAGACAGCTTTACAGACTAATAAAAGAAACTGGAATTAATAAGTCAAGTGTAAGTGAGATTATATCGGAAAAAGACGATACACTCATCTGCTCCCAGTCCAGACGTTTAGAACGATGGGCGGAACATTTCAGAGAACAGTTCAGCTGGCCTTCAGCTACTCTACAACTACCCTCCATTCCCAGACAGTGTGAATGGAACATTGAAGTAGGTCCCCCTACTCTTGCTGAAGTCCAGACGGCTATAGTTAACCTGCAACAAGGAAGGGCAGCTGGTCCAGATGGATTGGCTTCAGAAGTCTTTAAGGAATGTGGTCTAATTTTAGCGATTAGGTTGACTAATATTTTAGCTAAGATCTGGGAGTCAGACGTAATCCCATCTGACTGGCCGCAATCACTTATCGTCCCAATATATAAGAAAGGGTCAAAATCATCCTGTGACAACCACAGAGGGATTAGTTTAACTAATATAATATTTAAAATACTAGCCTCGATAATTATCAGATGCCTAACTAAGACTCGTGAACTGCAAACACGAGAGAACCAAGCTGGCTTCAGACCTGGTCGTGGATGCATCAACCACATATTCGCCATTCGTCAGGTTCTAGAACACAGGCATACTTATCGGCGTCCGACAATGGTGGTCTTTCTCGACTTCAAGGCAGCATTTGACTCTGTAGACCGCGAGATTCTGTGGCAGTGTCTGTCACTGAAAGGCGTACCCCAGAAGTACATAAACCTTGTAAAGGCTCTTTACTCGAACACTACTAGTCGAGTCAGAGCTTATGGAGAACTATCATCTACTTTTGTAACCTCAAGTGGTGTCCGTCAAGACTGTCCACTTTCCCCATTTTTGTTTAACTTCATCATAGATCTACTGATGGAAATAACTTTCTCGTCGACTGAGTTCTCGGGTATTGATCTCCATCCAGGAGGTCCACTTATCGACTTAGAATACGCAGATGACATAGTCCTGTTTGGTGAAGACGCTGATAAAATGCAGAGTCTTCTGGTAGCACTGAGCAACAATGCCAGAATGTTCGGAATGCGCTTCTCTCCCTCTAAATGCAAGTTGTTGCTTCAGGACTGGTCTGCGTTAACACCTGAACTAAGGATAGGGAGTGAAGTAGTCGAACGCGTTGACAACTTCACTTATCTTGGAAGTCTGATCAGCCCTAATGGGCTGGTGTCTGACGAAATCTCAGCACGGATTCGAAAAGCTCGTTTGGCTTTTGCCAACTTACGTCACCTGTGGCGAAGGCGAGATATCCGTCTATCAATAAAAGGACGAGTATACTGCGCGGCAGTCCGTTCTGTTTTAATTTACGGCAGCGAAACATGGCCATTAAGAGTAGAAGACATTCGTAAGCTATTAGATTTTGACCACAGATGCCTTAGAAATATTGCTGGCGTCTGCTGGGATCACCGGTTAAGTAATAGTGAGGTTAGACGCATGGTATTAGAAAATGATGGTAAATCAGTTGATGAGGTTATGAATCTTCATCGACTGAGATGGTTGGGCCACGTGTTACGTATGCCTGAACACCGATTACCACGACGTGCAATGCTGACCGGTGTTGGAGGATGGTTGGAAGAAAGTTAGGGGCGGCCAAACCAAAACGTGGCATCAGTGCTTGAAATCACTAACTTCTAGTCTGAGCCATGTTGGTAGATGCAGACTACTTGGTTGGGGTCCGCGTGACTATCGTAACCAATGGTTGGAGACTCTTGGTGACATGGCTCAGAATCGATCACAATGGCGTAGGTGTATACACTCCGTCTTCCCTTAAACTAAGAGATTAAAATCACTTCATATCTTTCTTTCTACGAACCAATTTTTTCTTCTTGTACTATATCTCTATATGTAATCTTTCTCTTATATATTACCACCTTTGACCTAACCACTGCTATGAATCCGGTGTTAATCTTGTTGTGCTGATGCGGTATGGCGACCTGGACCGATGCACATATGTGCCTGGCCCTACGTTGTAGCTGACTGACTGACTGACTTTTTGACTTAGAATATGCTGATGACAGTTCTATTTGGTGAAGACGCTGACAAAATGCAGAGTCTTCTGACCACTATAAGCAACAATGCAAGCATGTTTGGGATGCGATTCTCTCCCTCGAAATGCAAAATGTTGCTTCAGGATTGGGTTGCATCGACACCCGAACTAATGATGGGGAGTGAAGTAGTTGAGCATGTTGACCGCTTCACTTATCTTGGGAGTCTCATCAGTCTTTGTGTTCTGGTGTGTGACGAAATCTCAGCGCGGATACAGAAGGCTCGACTAGCTTTTACCGACTTGCGTCATTTATGGAGTAGGCGAGATATCCGTCTACTAACCAAAGGATGGGTTTACTGCGCAGCAGTTCGTTCCGTCCTACTTTATGACAGTGAAACATGGCCGGTAAGAGTAGAGGATATCCGTAGGTTACTAGTATTCGATCATAGTTGTCTTCGAAGCATTGCTCGTATATCCTGGGACCATCGAGTAAGTAAGGCAGTTGTTAGGAAACGGGTACTAGGTAATGATGGCAAATCGATTGATGAAGTAGTGAAAATTCATCAATTGAAATGGCTGGGACATGTGCTACGTATGTCCAATCACTGGCTGCCTCGACGAGTGATGTTTTATGGTGTAGGAGTAGGTTGGAAGAAAGCTAGGGGCGGCCAAACCAAAACATGGCACAAGTCCATGAAGTCACTGACAAGTGAACTGAGCCATGTTGGTAGGTGTAGACTACGTGGTTGCGATTCGCGAGATGATAGCAACCGATGGTTAGAGACCTTGAATGATATGGCTCAAAATCGTTTGCAATGGCGCAGGTGAGTCCACTCTTTGTGTTCTCCCAAATTCTAATCTTCTGAATTCTTCATGTCCTTTTTTTTCTCTTTCCAGATTTACTTCACTGTATATACTCCTATATATACTATATATACTCCTTGATAACATCTTCGAACCCTAATCTTTCAGATTATTGCTTATAATTTTACTACCTCTACCATTATGGGGTTAGAATCGACAATTGCATCTCTGTGCCAATTCGGTATGGCAACTTGAGCTGATGTACGTAAGTACGAAGTTCTACGTTTTTGCTGACTGAATGATTTAAAAATCACAAGAAGTGATAGACGGTACGAATAAAGGATTTCTAAAACTAAAATTCGCATACCTAAGTTTTGGTGACTAGTACTGGATAGAAACAAAAACCTCCAGCGTTAAAAAAACTTACAAATTAGCTTGTAGACATCAAACAAATTATCAATTAATTTATTGTCGCACTATACAGGAGAAACTTTACTCAACCATATCGAGTTGATAAAACATGATTATCTGAAAAATACTTAAGAAAACTGAAAAAACTTTTGGTAAATTCTAGACTATATTGCCACACGAACCCATACACAAAGCTACATGAGTTTAACCGGACCACACTGCACAGAATCAGACTGATCACACTGGCATCAATAAAAAATTCAGAAGGTCAATGGAAGACATGCAAACAAAGACGAGCTGACGCAGATTCAGATCACCACCTGCTGATGGTCAGGATGAAACTGGAGTTAATAAAGCATCAGACGATTGAGCAAGCAACACCATAAAAATTCAAAGCCTTAGGAGATCTACCGAAAGAAGAGGAAACCAACACGGAGAACAACTGGAAAGGAATTAAACAACAGACAACTTCAACAATCCAGGTGTTGGACTTCAACAAGCACCAGGATCAAGAATAAATCCCCATAGATATCATGAGCAAGATTCGAAGAAGATAAAACGAGAAAATCACATTCAACAACATCCGAACAAAAGTAGGGGGAATCAAGCTACAAACTGAATGTACAGAAGCAAACAAGCGGAAATGTGTCGAAAACCTGGCGACTACGGCAGAGAAATTTGAGAGGTGGATGTATGAAAGAATTGTATAATACAAACAAGAAGCTTGTAGGGTAATATGGTGGAACACAGCAACTAGTCAGGAACAGAGAAGGAAAACCAATAGCTGTGGTTCAAAATCAGGGGAGCAAGTGGGTAGAACACTTTGAAAAGCCCTCCAATAGGTCAGTTCCACTGAACTCACAAAACATCGAAGCAATACACACAGACCTCCTTATAGATATTACACCACCAGCAATCGAAGGAATCAGGATATTCACCAGACAAATCAAGAGTGAGAAAGCAGCTGGACCAGAAAACATATCAGCTGAAGCACTGAAGTCAGATATCAAGAAAACTGCAAAGTTGTTCCACATTCTCTTCAGGAGGATTGCAGAGGAAGAACAAGTACCAACAGACTGAAAAGAAGAATACCTTATCAAGATATCGAAGAAACGAGATCTTAGTAAGTGATCTTCATTAACATACAGAAATACACAAACATGTCACACGGAAATCACCCTGACCGGAGTGACATGACAATAGCTTGGTCCGCTGTTTTTAATTGGTTGTACTAGATATTTCCGCTTTGTTCCTTCGTATTATTTAGACTCAGGCTAATGAATAAATTAATTTATTCTCTGAAAAGTGGCTTACACTGAGTCACGGAAAATCAGGAATTTTATTTTATACTCATTTAAATATTAGAAATGCCATTATTTTCACAACTAACAATCTACCTGATGCTTTATTTATTTAAAATTATAAACCCAAACCTTGATAATGATATCTAGATTCTTTTAATGTCACAAAAAGTATTTTAATTGATCAATTGTAGTTGAAGTTAGACATTAACACCGTTGGATGCCGGCTCAGTGGTCTAGTGGTTAAGTGCTCGCGCGCGAAACCAGTAGGTCGGGGGTTCGAGTCTCGCAGGGGGCGAGGTCGTGGATGCGCACTGTTGAGGAGTCCCAAAATAGGACGAGACGGCCGTCCAGTGCTTCCAGGTTTTCCATGGTGGTCTAGCTTCAACTGACTCATGATCTTAACCATTGAAATTACTATAATATCCACAAAACCCATCCGAATTGTATATTTCCTTCAAAACTATAATTAACATGGTGTGTAAATTAATTATTCATTAAAAGAAACTAACACACGCAAACAATTCCCAATAATAATTCTACTAAATGAAAACAAATGACAACCACCTAAACCTCCATACTTAACACTTTTCATTAGGCTATGGAAACCACTAAATAATGACTATCAAGCCTGCCTTGTTAAATAAATATGCCAATGGCGAGAAACTTTTGAGGCCCATTTATATCATGATAACGTATAAATAGCTTACGTTGACAATTCCATGTAAGCATTTTACAAGTGTAGTGTCGATATTCTGAACAGTTTGTTACCCATAAGAAAGTGTGTTAAGCATACAGTATACAACTTGGCATACAAAACTATGTTTAGCTGGGTTTTATATCACTGTTATAATTTCATCATATAGTTTACCTTATAATATGGTTAATGTAATATTTATTAATTTAAATGTAAACAGTACACTACAAATACAAAAATAAACAAATCAAACAATGGTCTAATGGACAGAACACATAAAGTGGTGGATTTATATACAGTTAGGAATTTAGGACTGAGAATATTCAGAAAACGCGTGTTAAGTTTCATCATTCCACCAGTTTGTTTACTTTATCGATTAGACGAATCCAAAGAAAAGTTAACGATGAAACTAAAGTCAACAATAATTACTTGGTTATCACAATGTGTAAGTGATATAGCGGGCTACACATTGAGTTTGAAGGTCGGTGAAACAGAGTCCCGAGTAGGAGCAATCTAGAGACCGAAAATCATAACAACTGAGTCCCAGACATACACAAACAGGTGTCTGTGAGGTACCCAGGAGAATCAGATTAAAATATTAAAATAGCTTTAGTCGATATATATATAGGAACATAAGAAATCCATTAAAGACAATAAATCAGCAGAAATAACATACCAATAATAACTGTTGGCTTTAGTAATTTCACTGCATCTTCCAGTTTACATATATTTTCTGTGTCGTCACGCGCAAAAACTTTATTATGATCTGTCAGTGAACCTTCTTGGCGTGACTGGATATTATGGAAGTCAAAGCAACAAAAGATTATTATCTACGAGGTTCAAAAATTGTAATGTTAAGGAAAAAAAGATTTTTTTATTTGTAGGGAATAATTAAGCGCCTTTTTTCCTATTCTTTCAGATGTGGTAACTGATTAGTGACTTTTAAATCCAAGTCACAGAAGACTTATTTTCTTATTGTAAGTCCTTGGAACTTAGTGTTCTTAATAAAAACTGACGAATATGTGTAAATATTACATAGAGAAGATTATAACCAAAATAAAAATCAGTTGGTCAGTCGTGATAAACGCATAACCTGGAACAAATATGGATTAACTCGAGTTAGCATACAAGTAATTATAGTGAGGGATATATTCACTATTCAAAAAGACTATAATAGAAAAATTTCTGTTGATAAATAGATAAGAGTTGAACTTTTTAAATCCTAACTTCATTTAGGATCGAAAAGTAAAAAGAGCATGAAATTTTATTAAGCTGTTTAATACAAACTACAGGAATCGTACGTGAGAAGTGTAAGATTACACAATGAAAAAAGATTTCGTACACTATATAACAGTGATGAGTAATGCAAAAGATTACGAGAGACAAGGTACGTATTCTTTATCTGACGAATAATAGACGTGAACACGGAGATTTACTTGGGAAAGCGCTAATTAGGAGAAACTGAAAGAGTTGTTTCTTTTTTAGTGTGATAATTGACCCAAGTATTAAATGAAATATATAGGATATCAGAGAGTGACTCAACAGGTTCAGTAGTAATTTCTCCCTAGTCTAGAATAAAGTTCATAATCGCATTAGTGATTAAACAGTAGTGATAATTGAAAATTCATTATCACGCAAAGGCAAATTATTGTTCGAATTATTTAAGATGATATTTTAACATGAGACAATCTCTATTATGGTTACTGCAAAATATTTGTAGATTATGATACGAAAGCAATGATGGCAATGTGACTTAAGAAGAGAGCTCTTGTTATAGATGTTTCTGTGGCCCTTATGACTTTCGCCTACCCCCACAAACAGTCACTGTATGCGCTAAAACGACCGATAGCTGGCGTAACAGTCTCATTCACACCCAAGCCCTGGTCAGAAAACCAGGATACCTAGACAAGTATCACGCGTTGTCATGTTTTATTCAGATTTAAAAAAACTGATGTGATTGTATACATCAAGTCAAGACCATAACAAATAATAATAACTCAATATGTGCATAACTAGGGCGTTTGTGGTACGAAACTGTGATAGGAATCTGACTTTCTTACTGTATTTATTTTTACACATACTCGAATAAAGAAGTTGAATTGATGAACAAATATCCGTAATGTGGACTTGAATAAACCAATATGATAAAATAACCAAAATAAAAAGGGCGAAATCTTTAACAACAGTAGCAATAACAGAAACAAGGAGATTTACATGTGTTAATAATCCGTCTTTATCGAACATATACATTTTACTCAGGGCCTCTTTCTCATCCAATCCGTTTAGTTGTAATGATGTTGCCAGTAACTGAGCAATACCGGTTGCTGCCTATTTGATAAGAAAATAGATAAATTGAGAGGTACATAATAGATTATTTTACATGAAACTGTTTAAACAACGATAAGGGGTCTGTTTTGTAACCGAAATCGATCGAGAAATTACATCTCGTAATAAAATGACCTAAAGAAGATGAATTACCTATAATATATTCTGTGAAACATATTCACAGGAATATTTAAGCGAATAATTGTTTCCAATAACTTAGTCATCAGGCACTATGGTTACAAATCCGCAACTATTGTGTTACAATGGACAAGTCAAAGAAAACATGAAGAAATGGACTAGATAATGCTATATACTATTTATGTACGCCTTATTTTGTTCATCTTAATACAATAATTACGGATTAATAACTATAGAGCTTAATGACTAAGTTATTGGGAACCATTGTTCGCTCATATGTTCTTTGTTTTTGAATATTTACATGAGGTCATAGAAATGTGTGCACATATTTACTAAGCGTTGTAGATAGAGAAAACATTAATCAATATAACAATTTATGTTTCATTAACTAGAAGCTAATGGAAAAGAATATTATATGGGTAATTAAATGACATAGACTATAAACTTATTTGTTTGTATATTTCACTCGAATAATACTAGCGAATTCTTCAGAAATCATAAACTCCTATGTCGTGTGTCTCACGAACGACAACATATCCTACTACTGGTGACAAGAAAATTGTTGCCTGATCAGAATTAGGTGGGACAAGGATTGAACTTATAGTTCAGTGGTTGAAGATCAACTGAATTAACTATCAAGTCAATACAGCAGAATAAATGGACAGAACCCTGGTATCCTTAAAGATTCATGTAATGGACCATTTACTTGTTAAAATTTCCACTGTGTGCATTTCACGACAGTCAATTTTTATGAATATTTCAGTATTTTGATTATCCATTTAGCAAGTATATAAGCTAAGAAGCTACGCTGTAATCTATATACACATGTTTTTCCAAAGTTTTAGTATTTGAGTGAAAATACTACCATAATTGGTGAGTTTAAAACTAACATAACCTGACAATGAAATTATCACACTTAAAAAGTCATTCATTAATATTAAAATAGATATTTGCAAAATCATACTTAATTTTAACAGGATATGATACACCGTATGTTTTATTAGTTAGTATCTTTATCATGTACATAAGTTGAACTTTAAGATACCTATAATGAAGTCAATGTTTTTAAAAACAATATGATATACGGGTTTACCATGCTATGAATATATAAAAGGCTTGAAATTCAATCTATAGAAAAAAACCAAGCTGTTTTATCATTAGGCTAATTTTGACAGGATGTCAGTTTGTAAGGATAGCATAAAATCCTATTAGCACAGGACGTTGTGAAGATTGGTGAATCTTGTAGTTTTATATCACGAACTGACTTTATTTAGACAATGACTGAAAACTGAGAATCAAACTGGTAGTTTCACTGGTTGTCATTAGTTATTTAAATGAGTGAATTCCGTGATCTAAAATTAAAAGTGGAAAATTCATTGAAATACTAATTGGTGTACACTGATGGTGAGATACTTAATGCTTAAAAAAAAGACGATAATCTAACTTGCCTATCATTTTGTTTACACATTCGATGGGAGGAAAAGCACAAGACAATAATGATACGGAAAAGAGACTACGTAATAACGGCTTATATTGAGAAATAATACTTGTAAAACAAATAATCTATCTTGGTAACCAAATATCGAAATTTTAAAACATTGAATATATATAACATATATGTATATATCCAACAGACGGTAGTTGATATACTATTGTGATTACTCAACACATGGGAAAGATAAAAAAGATTCATACTTACTTCACCAGCGCCGACGAAAAGATATATATTATCTGTAAGCTTACGCTTTGTAATACGACCGGCAGCCAGTAAGCCGGCTACCGCTACAGCTGCCGTACCTGAACGTCGCAGACAACATGAAAAATATGCAAAATTTAAGCATATTTTGATGACTGTTATTCGAATATCACTGAAATACTTAAAGGACTAATATATTTCGAAAGTATAATTAGAATACTAATTTATCTTACACTGATATACAGAAATTTTAATTTTCAGATCATTTCTGTATGCATATGTTGAAAAATAATAATCCCAGTGGTTTTATGATGTCAGTATATAGAAACGCTCAAAGTCGAGAAACTAAACAAAAAGTTAATCAGGATTAAATTTGTAAATTGGATATTTGAGTAAAAAGAAAGAACACTCAATATATGTTAAAAGTGAGCACCGAGGTTATGAAAACTCGAAAAATACCGAGTGGGAGTCTATAGTAGCGAACATGGTTTCTAAAGCTCACAAAATAACACTGGTTTAATTTGATCAAACATACTAAATATACCAATAAAATATAATCACTAGAAAATATGAACAAAGTATAAAGCAGGTCCTAACTAGTTTTGGCTGCAAGTAGTTTTGTTCACTTTTATTCATCTGAACACAAAAATAGGTACAAAGAGGCACCAAACAGATATGCGCCACATAAATCACTCGATTTATGTGAGGGCTGAGGTACTCCCCGGGTGCCCAAACCGAAGCAGATGGTTTTCTTAAGGGGACCACCAACCCCCGAGCCTTTGACCAAAAAGTCTAATCCACAAGGCGGTGAAGCAACGTTAGGAGATGCAGTCCCATGGTAGTCGGTGACCAACAATATGCTCATACGCCATTTGTTCCCTCAGGATCCTGGAGCCCATGTGTACCATTGGTTTGGAATCAGGATTTTCCAATTCCCCTAGGTGGAGCCTCCGTGTCCACCAACCCGGTTAAAATGTCGGACATTCGCTTTTTGTCCTCTTAACTTCGTAAACAACACACCCACCGCGATAAGACAATAGCTATATACACGTGACCACTTAAGAGCATCTCGAGAGGGAGAGCTGACTCTTTCTACCCTCAGTTGTACCAGGGCATTCACATTAAAATATAAATATGTATAATAATTTTTAGACAGTATGAAGACAAGATTTCTTACTAAAGAACATCAATTTTTCAAAGAAAATTTACTAACTTACCTTGTATATCATCATTAAAAGTGCAGTACGAATCTTGATATCGTTCAAGTAAACGAAATGCATTATGATTTCCAAAATCTTCAAATTGAACTAAACAATGGTTCCCGTAGCTGATAATACATGAAATAGTAGGCAATTATTGAGGCAATGCATTTAATATAAAATATATCTACAACTCAAAAAACTGTAAAACCACAATGGATATGACATTATTACAATATTTTTTATGAACCTCACCGTTCTGTAACAGCTTGCATGAAATTTTCGATTAACTCATCATAGCGTTCATCGCGTATACGCTTATGTCTGATACCCGTATATACAGGATCCTACAGAAGAAGAAGTAATTGAAGGTGATATGTAACTAACAACAGTAATGCAAACAGATTTCAGTGATAATGGTAGGTAGATTATGTAATTTTATCAATTTAGTGGTATTGTTACTTGACATAAAACCGATTTATTGATCAAGAAATATGTAGAAAAGTATTGGAGAATAAAGAATGTAACGAAAATCAAATGCCATTAATATGCCTCCTACACACATATCACAATATTTTTGGAAATCTGAATAGTCTTCATAATAACAGTGGACAACTGGATAACAATAATAATAATTATTATTAGCTTTATTCATTATTATATTTTTGGTATGATATAGAATTCTCAGCACAAAGTATTTCAACAAGTTTCCGTTTCTCACTTCTTGGTTGATACTAACGATAAATATTGAGTGATCGCCAGTTGAATTACAGCAGCCCAGTAAATCGATATCGAAATAATGTACATTCATTTCGCCGCATATTGCTAGCAACCACGATACCTTTGATTGGGCCTTTTGTAACTTGTACAACGAAAGGTTGTACACTTTTCAGAAACGCACCTGAATAGGTTATGCGATTAATAGATATAATGATGCATTAAAACAAAAAATAGATAACTTGTTGAAATATCTAAATGACAGGAACAGGTAGCCCAGATGTTCAATGACTTAACGATTACGCGTTCGCAAGAATTGACTGTTCTAGGTTCCATTCATCTTACGGGTTATGAGTGCATACTGCTGAGGGAGACAGAAAACAAACCAGAATAACTGACCAATGTTCTTTAATTTGCAATAGTTTTTCAGCTGATGCTATCACATGAAAATAACTTTTAAGTCAGTCTAATCTCTTCAAACCATCCAGGTAACAAAACTGTTATTCATCTATTGGTATGGTGGGCCCCCAAATGCCCTGGCACGGCCGAGGGTAGAAAGAGTCAGCTCTCCCTCTCGAGATGCTCTTAAGTGGTCACGTGTATATAGCTATTGTCTTATCGCGGTGGGTGTGTTGTTTACGAAGTTAAGAGGACAAAAAGCGAATGTCCGACATTTTAACCGGGTTGGTGGACACGGAGGCTCCACCTAGGGGAATTGGAAAATCCTGATTCCAAACCAATGGTACACATGGGCTCCAGGATCCTGAGGGAACAAATGGCGTATGAGCATATTGTTGGTCACCGACTACCATGGGACTGCATCTCCTAACGTTGCTTCACCGCCTTGTGGATTAGACTTTTTGGTCAAAGGCTCGGGGGTTGGTGGTCCCCTTAAGAAAACCATCTGCTTCGGTTTGGGCACCCGGGCAGTACCTCAGCCCTCACATAAATCGAGTGATTTATGTGGCGCATATCTGTTTGGTGCCTCCTTGTACCCATTTTTATGTGTTTAAATAAATAAATAATGATGGCTGGATATATATTGTTCAGTATTAATGATCAAAGGATGATAGTTAACTTTTTCCCTATAATTTATCTGATTGACAGTAGAATCTAAAATTAATTAGGATATATCAAAAAAATTATATAAATAATGCACAATCGATTTTATAACTGATTCACCATATTAATCTATTTTGCAAAAAATAGTACTTGACCGTTATTACCGTAAAACTATTGAGTTTGACCTACTAATTGCATAGAGATGAAAAACAATAAACACAGTAAAAAACGATTTAGTGAAAATTAATAATTTCGGTAAATAGCTAAATAAAGAACAATAGTAACCTAATACATTGTGAGAGACCTCCAAGATACTCACGAGATTGACAAATACAGATATATACGAAAACACAACCACTAGTAATAACTGTATATGGTTTATGATACAAATAATACGGTTTTCATTAACTGATTAAATAACAGTACCCTAGGTAGTGTTGTCTATTTCTTGATACCGACTGAAATGCGGCCATTAGGCTGCATTTCTTAGTATTACGATGAGCTTTGTTTGATGTTAGGTGATTAAAAGTGAACGACGAAAAGACGTGGGCATTTAACCAAATGACAACCAATGAAATGCTTCATAATGTAGAGTCACAATATAATAACCATATTATAAACTGATCAATAGAATTCAAACAGCATAATAACCAACTCATGTTAACAAGTCAGTCCTATAAAATAACCTAGTAGTAAGTTCTTCAATAGTGATGGGGTTCAAATTCCATGAGATTGCAGTTTACCTTTACTGAAAAGAGGGGACTGGTACGAAAGGTAGGTTGACTGACTCCAACAACCTAACAATTCTATTCTATATGAAGATTATTTCGCAACAGTTAACTGGAAATTGATCAGTGACTGCTACATTTTGAAGTGTCATTCATAAACACACTAACTAGGTGAAAGCAAAAGTGACGACTTTTCTGCCTAACAATTCACTGATTGAAAATCATCCACATATTTTTTCAAGATGAAGGCATGTGTGTCACATGTTTAGCACGTAGTGACAATTATATTACTAATCAATAGTATTAGAGTGGTTATTCGACTATAGGCGCTTATTCTTCTCTAAATTTGGACTACTGTAACAAAATACCCATATGAGAAGACATCATTTATATAGACACCTCAATTCGCTATTTAGACACAACAAATGAATTACGACTTTGTCGACTCAAGATCAAGCTGTTCAAGAAATCCACACGTCAAACATCTTGTTAGTCGTAATTTTGATCCTACTCTGCCTGTTGAAGTAAGACTAATTTGCACTGGAAAACATCATCATCGAGTTATCAGTCTATCAGCTGACGAACAAAAAATTAGTTGTCCCAATTAGCAACCTAAACTTACATTCAGTAATTCTTGATTATCTGTTCCGACATCTAAAAGGATTGGTAAACAATGCTTCGGATGGACACCAGCCAGTGCTGTGTATAACGACAGTTTTCCAATGGGTATTCCCATACCATATGCTCCCAAATCACCCAAACCAAGAATACGCTCACCATCAGTAAATACGATAGCCTTGGAAAAGTGAATTTCAGTAAAAAAAGTACATTTAAATGCACATCATAACATTTAGTATCGATTATAATGACTATTATAAGGTACTAGATCAATAACTAAAACTTTAAAAGTACGAGATAACAAATGTCTACCATACTATAAACATGAAAGAAATTCACAAGGAGGCTCTAGAATCGAGTTCTGATCATTACGAGCCTTGGATGGAGACATTTTTAGACTAACTTTGAACAAAAAATAGATGACAAACTGAATATTTTAGCAGTGATAACTTATAGAAAACAAGGTTTGGGATTATCGGTGAGGATGTATAAACTGCAAATAGACGAGATTTTACGTGAAACTTAAATTCAGTGATTTCGGATTATCTCCTAATCCTCATCAACAAAGCATTGAAAATCAAGTACAGTGAACAATCAATTCAGTTTAATCAATCTACAGATGGTATATAATGCGTTTCTTAGTGCTCTACTGTTCCAAATAATCTGATAATCAGATTTTTTGGTGGCAGTAATAATAATAATAATAATAATAATAATACTTTTTCTGTCAATGGCAACATCCAGCTGTTTTAACAACACCGGATGTACAGTGATTCAAACTTAAAATCTAGTAAATAAACAATCGGGCCACGTATTTAGTGGCGCATAACGATCGCTAATGGTGATAAAAGAATAACTATCTGGCAACTAATTTTCAATACTTCGTTTTACATTTACCAGATTATTTTACTGAGAGTTAACCATCATAAAAAACTTCATACCGATCATGTGTAACAGTTTAAATCGTATATTTTCTGCGTTTTCATATGATATGGGGTTTTAAATATGTTATTGGATTTGAAGATGGGATATATTTTCTACAGAAACTCGACACAAGATTTGATTCGAATAGAGTACCTTCGATACTAATATATGGTTTTGTAAGCGGTGTAATGATGACCTAACACAATGACTCAATCTGGTTGTCTCTTATTTCACTGCGCCATGTCACAAACGCGTCGCACCTTTACTTTTTTGAACCGGTTCTATCAGCGAACAGTGCTCGGTACAGAAATCACTAATAATTGGCAGATAAACGATATCCAATCCAGTGAAGTCAATATTTCACTAGGATAACTTACCTGATATCGACAAGTGCGAGTAATCCTAACTGAAATCAGGGATCTATTAGTACATAAACATTAGACTTTACAACCGTGCAATAAACTAGTTTCGTCAGAGTTTTCTCCAAACTTTCCAGTCAGACTAATGAGTGACCCAGCTAAAACTACATTGTTATGTTTTAGACATAGGAAGATTGATTTCGCATTTTGGAACTATTCAAATGCTTTTAATTCACAGTCAATAGAAATTATTAACTAGAAAGGTGAGTGCAAGCAGATTTATATCATTTTTGTAAAAAATCTCATAAAATTTACTGATGCAGAGCACAAAATAAACATGCGAACGCTTGTCCTCAAGTGATAAGGTTCAATTTATGTTTTTATCAAAGCGAAATGGAACTATTTTGTCCACATCCCATAAGACAGATTTCTATTCTTATCCCCAATATAGTTTTAGGTATCCAGAATTTTATAGGTGACCAAGTTGAGGAGAAATGATGAGATTAGGTAACCCTGTTTAATGCATCTTAAACTGGCTGAAACATTGAAGTGAGGTAGATATACAATCTCTAGTAAACAACAAGAAAATCAAAGAGAGGACTGGAAATGTGTTTGGTTTGGAATACGTGTGACAGTGATCGAAGTTCAGGTAGAGAAGGAAAATGTGGTCAGTTCAACACTGAATGAATGAGACCTATTAGATTAATTGTCAGCGAATTCTGTGTAGTGTCGGGAGCCGATATTTTGAATGTAACTAGTAAAAGATTTATATTGTAATGTTCGTCACATACTTTGTCAAAGGCCTTTTTGGAATAGTCAGGTGACATTAGCGCAATCAATCCGGTAAAACTGAAGGACATCATCCACTATTTGATCGAGTGCTTTTTGGACATGGGTTTTAGTTCCAGATTTTGATCTATTATCGACAAAAAATATAAATGATCAGTGTGTCACCATTCGCCAACGTTAAGCTAAATTTCAAAGTATCGTCGGTGGATTATATAGGTATGTTAAAAAGACCATTTATTCTGCTATTTAAATAACCTCATGGGCAAATTTATGGTCTTGAATTTTATTATTTTACGTTACAAAGCCAAATAAATTGGATAAATACTGGGAGCCTGAACATAATGGAGAAGTCTACCACTTAAGACTTTAAAATTTGACAATGAACACGTGATTGCTGAACCGCTTAGCTGAAACTCGTTGTTCGTCTGTCAGCATAAGTTTTCAATACCTGTTGTCAAACAGACTGCCTCATCAGAACTGCAAAAGAGCAAAAACTTTTAATTTTATCAACCAATTGTGACTTAGACGGAACGGGATACTATGGACAAATCTTCCTGAATATTGTTTGAAATGTCACCAAATGTTATGAAAATAAATAGAATTTACCAAAGAATACGTAAATACCTTACCTTTACGATCGGTTCAGGCCAGTTATTTAGAATCGCGGGTATATGATGTCGATCGTGTACTGTTATGTATAGACCTCTAACGGGGAATAAGAAGGTAACTGATCAATGAAGGGGAATTTGACAAAAGATACAATAATTAGGTAAATCGTAAAGCACAATTTTGAATAACGTATAAACAAGTTTGAAAAAACCCCACGAACTACATGATTTAAAACTAAAAACAATGGAAAATCCTCTTTCGCTGAGGAATATAAGACCTGAATTATAATTTTCCCATTGGATGTGGTACTGTACTGCAAATTCAATACTAAAAATTAAAAAAAAATTACTGGATGTTGAGAGCTCAGAGGAATTCACAATATAATTATCTATATAGTATGCATTGATTTAAAAAGATCAAAAATCGCAATCGCTTCACACAACTATGAATTACTATCTCAATCTACAAATAAATGAACGTTTATAAGGATGCTTCTAAATAAAATAAATAATTTGAGCACTCAGTATGAATCACAATCAAAATACGAACACATATACCAGTCCACTAAAACGTTAACACGCTGCCTTCTATCTTAAGATTTTCAGTTGGCATACGTAGTCACGAAACGATGTATAAACGATTCGTAGAATACATTACGATAAATGTAATCCCAACCTATTTACTATAACTACAAAATACAGATGATGATTTTGATTTGCTTACTTACGATTAACGTGTGAGGAATTTTGAGGAAACGGTATCTAGTACTGATAAATTGAACACTTAAAACTACGACTATCTGAAAAGGCACCAGTTAAATATGATTTCATTAGAAGCATAAAAGTTTACTGTCCACAGAGAAACAGAGATGTGTCATTTTTTAGATGCTAAGTCTTTATTTCCTCTTTTCAGCAAGAGTATTAACAAGAATGTCTGTTATTCATGAAAATTAAATAACTCCTGTTATACCCTGGCACAACTGTTGGTAAATTTTCCTCCTGGTTGAAATTACTTTAAGCTTTCATACTAATTAGTTTCCCTAAACTTAGAACTGGCCTTCATGAAATCATAAAACTTTGAACAAATGATATTAAATTATACTTTGGCTACGTTAGAATTGTGAGTGGATTTGAACACATCAAGGCTAAATCAAGTTGGATAGAAAGTGATTCAAAAAACTGGCTTAACTGCTAATATGTAGAAAGATACGAATTAAATTAGAGTTCTTACCGAGGTCGTCGAAATACTACACCATAGCGTTGACAAGCCAAACCAACAGTTGGTGTATATATCAACGGCATACAATATTCCACATGCTCAATAACAAGCTGAAATAGGAACAGCGATTGGAAAAAATATATTAAATTTGTAGCCAGAGATAGAAGAATGCAGTGGTACACACAATGCACGACCTCATAGTGGTATGTTTCCTTAATAAGCAATCATTTAGCTCTGTGCCCATAATTCACCATTGATTCGATCGGAAAATGGTATCTTGGATTGCTAAAGATAAGTGTCAAAGACTGGACTATCGGTTCTCAGTAAACAATTGAACGGAACATAATGGATGCAAATGATACTAGTACATTTCATAAATCACACACGGATTGGTAACAAAAGGTATTTACAGAAAGGTTGGCTATGAACTTGTCAATAATGCTGCCTAAACATGCGGATTGACGAATGAGGCTATGCTGCTCGTTAGTGTTGTCAAAAAAACAAAGGAAGATTAATGACGATATGAAGCTGTCACATGCTCCTAAGCAACCACCATTAGGACCTGGTATTCAAAGCAGATATTGCGTCCAATTAGAGACGTCTGACTGGGGAACAAAGTTGATTTCTGACAGTACAACTGACGTAATTATAAGAAAGGTAAGTGGTTTATGATTATCAATTGGAGTAATAATAGTTACACGTTGCGCTTTTAGTATGAATCCGCTTTCCTTGAATTCAGTTAACGTAAGTTACTCTTGGATGTGATATGTCGAAACCTAGATTGACAAACCATCAGCCGTACCCACCCATCATAAGAGCACACCATTTTTTGAATATACTACAAAAATTTAATTGACAATAAATTAAGGTAACAACTCTAGAAATGGGAACTTAAACGTACCTTATAAAATAAAGCCTCGTTTCGGTCTTGTAATGAAGTAAGATAAACGTAGCGCTGCAAATTATCGTTCATATTCTTTAGATTGGCCATCATTTTTGAGACCTGTTGGTCCAGAGTTAATACAGAAGGTGGGAGTAGCCCATGTATACCGAGTAATTGTCGCTCATTAAGAGTGAATGCAGTTCCCTGAAACAAAGTCATTAATAGTGTACTTTTTACTAGTACTGCCAAAAAGTTATCGACGAAGAATTCAATATATGCAAGGAACACTCACTCGATTTGTTCTCGGATCCCGGACCACATCGATACCGTGAAGCCGAATAAAATTTGAATCTTGTCCACGTACCGAATAGTTTGCATGCTTATAAAAGATTTGGTTTCGTTGGAAGGAGAAAAGCTGCAAAAGCTTCCTCATGGTGAAATACTTCATATAACGCCTAAAATAAAAAAATTTGCAGGTTTCAGAAAGCAGAATGCTTGATAAGGTTGATATGAATACAGAAAATTGATTTACATCAATCACTGCGTTCATCACAAAGTTAGTTGCTATAGTGGAAATAATTTATCTATTATTGGAATTCAAAGGTGAAATATTCCTGTGTCCACGCAATGGGGCGGCCAGACCAAAACATGGCACAAATCCATGAATTCACTGACAAGTGGACTGAGCCATGTTGGTAGGTGTAGACTACGTGGTTGCGATTCGCGAGATGATAGCAACCGATGGTTAGAGACCTTGAATGATATGGCTCAAAATCGTTTGCAATGGCGCAGGTGCATCCACTTTCTGTGTTCTCCCAAATTCTAATCTTCTGAATTCTTCATGTCCCTATTCTTCTATTTCCAAATTTATTTCATTAGATTACACTCCTTGAATAACATCTTCAAGCCCTAATCTTTCCGATTACTGCTTATACTCTTATTACCTCTACCACTACGGGATTTGAATCGACAACTGCATCTCTGTGCTAATGCGGTATGGCAACTTGAGCTGATGTACGTACGTACAAAGGTCTACGTTGTTACTGACTGACTGACAACGTAATGGGAGTTAAATGTTGGCCCGAAAATCAGCATTTATTAGAGATCTGAGCTTTTTATTTAAGAAAACAATACAAATTAACCTATTAAAATCTATACCACCCAATTAACATGCTTTATACAAATCTATGGGTTCACAGTTACAATAAGTTAGTGGCGAAGGAATTTGAAAATAGAATATCAACGAATAGTGGGGATTAACTTGTTAAACCCGAAGAAAGTAGTCTGAAGAAAACATTGGGTGTAGAAAAAATCGTTAGAAAGCAAGTCAATGATCAACTAAAGCCACACAGCTAGAAAACTAATGGGAAAATCTGAGGGCTATTTTAGCTAGCATTTCAGTACTTCGTGCTATTATTAACATACATAGACAAGGATTGGGATGGTCCATATAGAAGTGCTATGTGTGGAAAACCAGAGAACCGTCAGTAAAGTAACATCTAACCTGGTAATAAGTATGGCTGTTGATCGATAATGAAATCCCGGAAGCCGGCTAGTTACTGTCATTTTGTCAGAATCCTTTATTTATTTGGAACATGACAAAATGAAAATAAAAATTCACGTATATAAGGTTGCGTAGAAATATACTATTGTAACTTGTCAAGTATATTTATCATGCAGCGAAATGTACAGGTATAACAACTCACGAACTTTCTAGTACAATATTGTGACTTAATTACCAAGTGGAGATGAATGTACTTTAGTTTGGATCATTAAGACTAATGACATTACGAAGATGGAGTTGCTTTATTTACTAGGTGTGCGGGTATGAATCAAACTGGAGTTGTGGAGGTTAGTGATACTACATGATTACCAAAACCGAGGGGTTGAATCTGGGACTTCGCAAGTGGAAGCCGAAAGCTCTAGCTACTACTCCACACATAGCCTGGATATATAAATCGAAGTAGGTTTAGTGAGTCTACTAATCTTTTAGAACAGATGACTTTGTAAGTTACCTTCCACTCAACGGTAAAATGAAATAGGACAAAACTTTTGTAACTAGCCGCTTCAAAAGCTTATACCTTACACCTTGACACGAAGTTTTGTCCACTGACACCATTGGATATAAATGTACTGCCCATAACATTTACCTGGACACTAAGAGAAGCCAACAGTTTGATGGGACCTAAATATGACAAAATTAAGTCAGCCGGAGGTTCAAAAATCTCTGTGGGCTGAACTTGCAAAAATATATGGTTTTGTTCTGGCTTTAAAAGCTGAATACACGGGAAAATATATGATAGGTTTTGTCTAGTGGAGTGGTGGTTTAGTTCGATGTTTTCGACGTTCCAACTAACTCGAACCAGGCATTTAAGGGGCACTAGTAACCCTATAGTGCGGTAAGGAACGCAACACACAAACTTATTCTTAGTAGCGATATGAGAAATTACAACAGGATATTACGGTGAACTAAGTAACAAAAAACGTTAGCTAATAAAGACTACATTTGAAACTTAGAAACGAGGTCTATTCATAGAGTGAATTCACTAGCCAAACTCGAAAATACTTGACTTATTGTCGAAAACATAACCAGACCATGTAAAGGTTAGTACTTATTACCGAAAATAACCTGTTTAGTAATGATTTCGCATACATTACGCTTTTATGCTTTTGTGTATAGTTTTGAAGTTCAAACACAATGAAGCCAAAAGTAAATAAAAGGTTACAAAAATGAATGCAATACTATCAAAAGAGCTTTGCATGATTACCTAGAATTACTAACATCTACTAACACGCCCTAGATACACACCCGAGACTTAAATCCAGCGCTTAAGACATAAGGAGCGCCTCAGTTATTACTATATATTTTCCATGTTTGTCAATTGAACCTTTCCTCCTCAGTTATCCCGTGTCCCCAGATCTTATTGAAACGAAAATATTTATGAATTCAGCATGTGAAATCAAATGTATCCACTACTTACTTGTCATCCTTCGTGGAGGAGCACAGGCCACTGACCAGCATTCTCCACTACATTGGATAAAAATAATATTTTGGTTTTTAAGTTCTTGAATTTGCCGCAAGTGCCTTTGCGTCTAAATATTTGGCTATATTCTTCCAAACACAATACAACATTTTGCTGAGTTGTTCCAGCCATAAAAGAGATGTCCTTCAGACTATCAACTGTGAAGTTTTTACACTCACAGCGAAACCTAGGCTTAATACAGCGATAGGCGAAAACGGTAAAATTAAATTTCTTCCCTACGTTGCCGCCGCCTATCTTTTTAAGAAACCACTCCCTTCCGGTGGTAAAGGTATGCTCATGTGTTCAGTAGTTAGCCATGTGTAAATGTGGATAACCATTAGTGTATGGCTGAAAACATCATTACTCATGATGCCATGGTCCCCTCGCTACATGCATTTTTTGAAAGCAACGATCCCATTCATAGACTTTTCGTATTAAAATATCGACGACTTCTTTATAAATTTGTCTTAGCCTATAACTGAAAAGTCCTCAATTATTAATACCTTTACCAGCAGAAAGGTCGTCGTTGTAGCCACCAATTGGCTTATTAGTAACAAAGAAAGATCAGGAAAAAAATGGCTATCGCTCCTGACTTTCTGTAGAGAAGTAATTAAACTACAGCCAGATTATTTGTACGAATCTGTGAACAGAAATGCAAGCTGAGTACAGCCTGGTGGGATATCCTAAATTTAGGCGATTAGAAACTTCAACTTCCCCCAGTTCTTAGTTCAGCCTGTTATCTATATAACTGTTCATGAATAGGTTCAACGGAAATAGAGTCTCTGCCGTCAGTAAGTTTCAATACCCAGTAACAACGCTATTTCTGATAAGTTTCATTTGAACTTTTATCAGGTCCCGTAGATTATCAAGGATAAATATAAACATAAAAAATTGTCAGCGGAGTCTGTAGAGTTGTATGAGAGTACGAAACAAATAAGGGTACTGTTGGAAATATGTATAACAGATTATTGTGTTAAACGATTTATCAGGGGACTATCCGACATATTGAAGAAAAGACGTAAGTACGATTCTGTCTGTGAACACTCGCTTCTCGTTTTTAGATATCGTCACCTACTCTGCTATATCACTGCAGGTTTCAGAATATTGGATTACAAATTTTTATTAGTTATGTTACAAAAAATCCATAATCGTTCATTGCTGTTGTTTGACAACTCCATTAATGAAAACTCTACTTAACACCGAAAACCCTATTATTTTGAAAATTACCCTTAGTGTAAATATTTTTTGCTAAAACCACCACTAAACTTCTCACTGGTTTGGAGTACGTTGATAGCAACTAGATGTAGCGGGTAAACGATGGTATCCATGAATACCTCGTTTGAACGAAGCTTTCTTCATTTATTTTAGTAAGCCTCTCACTATTTTACTAAAGATTACAGTTGAAGACAACTTGTACTCATTTGCAACGAGAACGCCTGGCCTTTTCCTCTATATAGATGGCACTGACAACTGTATGTGTAAACACTGGCAATACATAGTTCTCACTTAAACCATTATGTTATTTATGGTCGAAAGAGCATATAATTTACTTGGTTTGGAGAACTAAAGGCTAACTTCCGAAATATACAATATACTGGTACATTACGTTTTGCTAAAAATTAAATACTTCAATTGTTAAGAATGGAGAAACCTAGACAAGTCAATTTAAATTCCTGAGAAAAGTAAACGAATTTTTGTTAGCTTTCAGGAAACGTAGAACGATGGATGTTAATTTTAATGGATAGTAGGCATTTTGTGGAAAGTAAAAGTGCTGCACTAAAGATATTTTCATTCACTAGGAAATTTTGGGACAAATACGACTGTTTACCTCAGGCTTAGAAAAAACGCGATATTTGGATACATCGTCACTTAAATTCACATGGACGTTTCTCATATATCATCCCGAAAGTTCAACTTTATTTCCCTTTTCTGTCCGTAATCTTCAGGAAAACTGATGCGTGGACAGTGTGAAGTGGCTTAACATGAGGTGTAATTGCATTCTTTTAGGAATGTCCAGCAGATATGGGCAAATAATATGAGGGTTAATAGTGAATCGAAGAGGCTGATATTTCAATATAGTGAAGAGCACAATTTTATGTTTATTTTAATGATAATTATGATTGTCTTCCATATGCACCGATACTTCATATACTGAGTGAAGAAACAGAAGATCATATTTAATGAGCTTTTATTTCTTCTAGCAATGGTTGACTGATGTCTATGTATATGAGACAAGTAGAAAATTTTAAATAAATTATTATGAGACACTGTTTCGAGTTTTTGAGAATATTTGAAGTACCCTATTCAGAGACTCTTGGGAATTTGAATGAACCATGTCAGTTGGTAGTGAATTCCAAAGCTTTAATAGAAGGTGTGCAAAAAATTCCGTTTCCTGTCTCGTATATCTACTTTGGCGTTCTCCCTTAAGTTCGTACTGGAACTGAGCGTAAGCAAGCCTTCTAGAGGATGTCCAGGGGTGTTTGGGAAACGTTGGATCTAAGGAGAATCTTATCTGAGTTGCCTTACGAATTCAGAAACTAACCAGGAGGACCGAAATCCCGGCTATACTCGTGTTTAATGGAATAAATAATCGTTGTTTTCTAATTGCACATCCGTAATTGCTATCTAGCATTTATTCATTTAACTCGTGTTTCCAGTTGTATACCGTGATCGTACTGCGCAGGATTGGTTTGATTAGGTGGAGGCCTAAGAACCCCTGGGAGATATTCTATTCGTAATGCAGTCATTGCAAAGTTGATAGTAAACAAAGGCTAAAAAGTCATAGAAAAGAAAATGAGTGGTGTGGAAATATAGAATTATGAAGCTAAAACAAAGCTAAAACCAACCGGTGTTCACAAATGAGGGGCTGGTATGAGAAGGATCAGTGAATGTTGAAATTGTGCCAGCATCCGAAAGATGTAGCCCTCCGGAGGCTACTGCCGGTTCCAAGCCCGGATAATGGGGAAGGGTTGAGCACGGGGTTAGCGACCCCATACTGTAGAAAACTAACCCGCCAAAAAACGCTGACCAGAAAAAAATTATTCGAACCATTTAAACCCTGCCCTGGGAGTCAGGAGGTCTTCATTTAGAAGTTATGACGCCTCATGATGAAAGCCGAGTTCCTTCGGAAGTCACGGGGCCGATGCCTCTTCTGACAACCAGAGCAACCATTTATTTAAGTACATGGAATGCTCGTGCAATGCGGGAGACTGGGAGAGTCTTCCAAATCGCTCCTGTTGCTGTTGTTTAGAAAAAAGAGAAATGCATGTGTTACATCCAAATTTTTGCCACCTCCCGTTACTGAAGCACGGTATGTCGATCTACTTGTAACTTGAAAACCAAAAATAACAATGGAACCAAACTCTAATTCAGACACTAAAGTTCATTCGCAAGTTACAAATAATCGACCCAAATGTCGTTCTAATAATATTTATAACAATTACAAAACAAACCTTCAGTTTTAAGGTCCCAGAAGAAAACATTCCACAAACCAAACCAAAGACAAAGAGAAACCAAAAATGTCTACAGACAAGGATGTAAACAAATAAGTTCAGAACAAAGGAATGCAAAAACGGTGAAATTATTAATATTCAGTATAAAAGTTTCTAATCAACCAAAACTCTCCAGTTCACCCGTAACAGTAAAACCATTACACACTTGCTTACTTACGCGTGTTATACCTCGTCGAGGAACACAGGCCACCCACCAGCACTCTCCATCCAACTCTGTCCTGGGCAGTCCTTTCCAGTTCCTTCTAGTTGCTACTCATCCTTTTCATATCTGCTTCCGTTTTCCGACGTAGCGTGTTCTTCGGCTTTCCTCTTTTCCTCTTCCCTTCAGGATTCCAGGTTAGAGCTTACCTCGTGATGTAGTTTTGTGATTTCCGTAATGTATGTCCTATCCGCCTCCAATGTCTTTTCCTGCTTTCCTCATTAGCTGGAAGTTAGTTCGCCCCCTCTCACAGTAGGTTGTTGCTGATGGTGTCCGGTCAGCGGACATTGAGTATCTCGCGTAGAAAACTACTTACAAATGCTTGTACCTTTTGATGATGGTTGTAGAACATGGAGCATGTCCGCAGTTGCTTCTATGTCCGACTTAAAAGAGCTTCAGCTGGTATATTGCCCGGTTCTGCTGCTTTCCCGCCATTGCTTTGTCTGCTGAAAATCTTGATTGCTTCCGTCGTTGGTGGAGTTACGTTTATAGGAAGGTCTGTGTGTGTTGCTTCAATGGATTCAATGGAGCTGGTCTATTCAAGAGTTCCCCAAAGTATTCAATCCAACTGTTCCGTTGTTCATGAATCCCGGTGATTGTCTTGCCTTCTTTGTCCTTGGTCGGTCTCTCTGGTTTACTATATTTCACCGCTAGTTTTTTCGTTGTGTCATATAGCTATCTCATATTTCCTTCTCTTGAAGCTTTTCCGCCGTCGTTGCTAGCTCTCCCACATATTTCTGTTTGTTAACCCCAATGTTGTTTTTCATTTACTCGTTTATTTCCGTGTTTTCAGCTTGTGCCTTAAATTTCTCTGTTCTTGTTCAGCTGTTGTTAACTGCTGTCTTCTTGTTCTTGATTTCTTGAATCTTGTCCAGGGTTTCTATTTCTTATAATGATGGTTGTTACAGTCCAACACTTCCGGACACGTTCAAGTTAATGTTTCTTTGGTTCTTCTTTTCAGTTGTTCATCATAGTAGTTTCATTTTCTTTCAATAGGTCTTGTAAGGTTTGGAATCTGTTGCTGAAAGCTATCTTGAGTTCGTTGAGTTTGTCAGTATTTCAAAGGAAGTCTGTAATAAACCGTTGTAATTCCGTTTCTTCAGCCGCTCAGTGTTTCGTTAGCTTTAGTTTGATCTTGGCTGCATCTACATGGTGATCG